TGTGTCCTTATAGCTCAGATATTAAGCTCTGTCTCTTCCAGAGAGAAGCATAGCTCACTGGCAGAGTGTCTGCCTGGCATGCTCAAAGCCCTAGGTTTGATCCCCAGCACCAAAGTAACAGTAGTATAAGTAATAATAATAATAATGTGGAAATATATAAATATAGCAGGGGTGGGTAGTATGTGCTTGTAATCTCAGCAGTTAAGAAGCAGTTAAGAAGCAAGAGGATCAAGAATTCAGGGTCATCGTGGCTACATAGCAAGTATAAGGCTTGGGCTGTAGGAGACACTTCCTCAAAGAACCAATAGGGGCTGTGTATGTAGTTCAATTGATAAAGTATTTGCCTAACATACTAAGTCCTGAGTTTGATCCCCAGCTCTGTATAAACATGACATGGTGGCACATGCCTATAATGATAGCACTCTGGAGGACACAAGTTCAAGGTCATCTTCATAGTAAGGTCATCTTCATATTGAGGCCAGCCTAAGATATATGAGACCATCTTTCTCAAAATAAATAAATACACACACACGTTGAGGCAGACATGATAGTCAGCCTTGATAGTAAGTACTTGTAATCCCAGCACTCGAGGTTGAGGCAGATGGACTGTCAATAGTTAGAGGCCAGCCTGGGCTATATAGCTTACAAGACCAGTCAGGCCTGCAAGAACCTGCCTCAGTAAGTCATAAATGAAGAAATACTAAATACGTAAATAAATAAAGGATAGGAAAAGTTTTAGATTCCATTACTCATAGTCTAGACAAAAACAGTACAAATTGAGAGAAAATGTTGCTATAGTTTTTCGTTTCCAGGCTGTTACTGAAAGACCCGCAGAGCATGGACCTTCCTGCTCCCACTCAGGAAAGGCGACACGAGAAGTGGTCTCAATGCAAGTAGCACGAGGGATTTTTATTCCAAGTGCGCTGGGATCCACAGTCATAGGATTGAGGACCTTGAGGACAGAATTGAGACAGTTTTTATAGGGTTTACAACAAAGCCCACACATAGGTTATTGGGGAGGGGGGTTTCACAAGCAGTTTACGAAGTCAGATAAGCAGTTAGTTAGCTCATTTTCTGTTATATTACTCAAGGGCCTGACTGTCCTAAGCATCAAGGAGTGTGACCTTTGCCTATTTATGCAGAAGACAGGGTCTGGAACTTGAGGTTTTTAGGGCTTTTTAGATAGTATTTCTAAACTTTTAGCTTTCTGGGGTCATTGGAGAATTAGGCTGTATTTTTCCATCCTTACATTACAATGGTTTATAATTGATGCCTGCCCCTGAGTAGCACATGCTCCTGGGAATTAAATAAAACTCTGCTGGTGGTTTTACTGAAACGCATCCATCCCTTGATGGGCCATGTGGACATTGAGAGAGGGGCTCCATCCCATCATCACCCTTAATCAGTGTGCACTTGTCATGGTTCCGTAGAAGCTTTTCCATCCAAGGACAACACTGTGACAGTAGTCAAGCTGTAAGGAAACATCCTCAGAGACAGAGAGCTCAGTTACTATACTCGTGATAAAGATGTTCAGTCAGGCCATACAAAGATGACGACACCACTATTGACCCAATTACCTCTAGTCTCCCAGAAAGGCTGAAAAGATGAGAATCATTTTAAACTTGAAAGTGACAAGGTGATCCAGCCACCCTGTGCCATGCTGCTCAGTCACACAGAGGAGTGGGGCACTGACTGGCACATGCTTGAGCAAATCTCCAAAAGTTACACTGAGTGAGAAACCCTGCTTCAAAAGATGACAAAGGGTTTCATCCCATTGACACAATTTTTTAAACAGGAATTTGGATTACTGGATTCAAGGATAGGATCAGAGGAAGAGGGTAGGGGAACCCAGTGAATGGCTGCAGAGGGGTCTGGTGGGTTTAGAGATATGGGGGAACACGGCCCTGGTAGTGACCCTGAACCCATTTCGGTGGTCACGGTACACACCTATAACCCAAGCCCTCAGGAGGCTGAAGCAAGATCACAAGCTTCAGGTGTTTGGGCTACATCAAGAGACGTGTGAAATAAGATGATGAAGATAGAAAGGCAGGGAAGAAGGGGCTGGAGAGATGTCTCACTGGCCAAGAGCGTGTACCCTTGGGGCCCTAAGTTCAATCCCCGAAACTTACGGAAAGATAACAGGAGGGAACCTGACTCCACAAAGATGCGCTCTGATCCTCACATGGCACAAGCACGCACCCATGATGATGGTGGCCGTGATGATGATGGACAACAATAAGAGAAGGAAGAAGCTTACAAGTTAAAGGGAAATGGTGTGTCATGGCTAAGCCTTCCTCCTGACTGAACACTCAGTACAGAGCTATGATCTTTAACCTACAACTTGTTTGGGGTGTGTGTGTGTGTGTGTGTGTGTGTGTGTGTGTGTGTGTGTGTTAATTAATTAAGTGCTCCTCCAGTAGCCCATTCGCCCCTGAACTTTAGCCAAGAATTTTCCTCTCCCAGAACAAAGAAATATTTAAGGAGATGAAAACTCTAATTACTCTGATTTCCTCATTCAATATTGTACCATGGATTGAATTATCATTGTACCCATTAATGTGTGTAATTATTATGTGGCCATAAAATCATTTCTTGATAAACTTGAAAAAATTAATTTTCCTAGCACAGCACAACAACACAGGAAGCGGAGGGAGCGGTTAGAGCGCTGGCAGGAGGCAGGGGCTTGCCTCGAGGGCCGGTCTAGGTAGGCAGTGTTAGGGGCCCCACGTTACTGTGCAGTCCATGCTGAAGAGCTGGGACACTGAACCCATTAGACAGAAGCCCCCTCTCCCTCCCCTGTCCCGGGCTGTGCACCACCCTTCTTTGCTTTTTCTTTTTTCGTGTTCATGGGCTTCATTAAATGGAAGGTGTTATACCCGTTTTAAAGATGTCTTACGCCCCTGCCCATTATTATTTTATATGTATGCGTGTTTAGGGGGGGGTGCGCGCGCACACGCGCGCGCATGAAGGGCCTTCAAAGGCCAGAAGAGGGTGTAGGACTCCCCTGGAACTGGAGCACAGACCTTTGTGAGCCACTACGTGGGTGCTAGGAATGGAATCTGGGTCCACTGGAAGAGCAGTCAGGGCTCTTAACCACCCAGCCATTTCCACATGCCCTTATTTCCTTTTTAATTACGTGCTACGTATGTGTGAGAATCGGGATGTGGCGTGAGAGTGCAGGCATCCAAGGATGCATCAGACAGGCCCCCGGGAGCTGAGTTCCAGGGCTGTGAGTGTCCCGATGTGGGAGCTGAGAACCGAACTTGGATCTTGCACAGGAAGTAACCTCTGGCCATCTCTGCAGAACCTCCTCATTCTCCTGTGTGGAGAAAGTGCTACATCTCTTGGTGGCATCCAAGAAGGATGAAACAGTGCTGTGCTTGTGTGAGGGGCTGACCCATACTGCAGGCTGAGGGTTCAATCATCCTGCAGTCAGGGCTCCCTTGGTTTTGATTTTGGTTTGTTTGAGTTTGCTTTGAGGTTGTTTTGGTGGTGGTGATGTGGTGGTGGTAGTGGTTTTGCCCATGGCACCGGGGCTTGAACCCAGGGACTTGTGTATGTTAGGCAAACACTCTGTTTCTGAGCTATACCCTCAACCCCCTTTTCTCTCTTTCATCACATGTTAACTTTTAAAATCTTTATATTTATTTATTTATAATTTTTTGAGACAGGGTCTCACTATATAGCCTCTGGATGACCTGGAACTCAATATGTATGCCAGGCTGGTCTCAACTCAGAGAGATCCTCCTGCCTCTGACTCCCCAGTTCTGGGATTAAAGGTGCTCATCATTTTGTCTTTTAACTCACTGGATAGCCATGACTTCCTTGAACTCCAGATCCTCCTGCCTCCAAGTCCTGAGTTCTGTAATTACACATGGCAGGTTGCCTTCTCTTTTCAGGCTAATGGTATTCAATTACTTCTGTGGATCACTTCTTATTTGTTTATCCATTCATCCACCAAAGGACACTTGTTATATAATTCCATTGTAATGGCAAAGTATCTGACAGTGGGAAGTAAATAAAAAAGTAGGTTTGGAGGTTCAATGCCCCGGCTCTCATGTGCGCTTAGATCTCATAAGGGTCCCCTTCACTAAATCACATGGAGAATAGCACTGTGATGTGGTCACAGGGGACAAAGAGAAAGATCACAAGGGAGCCAGAAATGAGAGGTCAGTCTTGGTCTTTGATTATAACCACCTCTAGTTGGGAGTACATAGGAGCTCATGAGAAATAAGATAACCCCTTCTGAGAATATTGCCTCAGATGGCCCCGTCACCTCTTCCTCCCAGTGCTTAAATGCTCCCTCACCTCCTAGCATGGTCTCCACACTAGGAACTAAGCATGCAATGTACACTTCTGTGAGGGACAGGCTCCAGCCGTATCCAGACCATCGCACATAGTTTCTGCTGTCTGTGACCATTGTGAATGATGCTTCTTTCTCTGTCTGCAACCCTGCTTCAGACAAACAACAAAGGGGAAAACCCAAGTTCTGGCCCAGGTCAAGCTTAATAAGAGGCCAAGTGGACGGCAGGGCATTCCGGACCTTCAGAGTGCTTGTTTCCTTTGTCGGTGTGGCTCCTGGCATTGGGAAATCAAATAAAAGCCCCACGTCCAAGTTGTGTCCTTCCAGACCCACCCACCTTCAGCATCAGAACAAAGTCTAGTCCCCCTGGCTCAGGAGCGAGACTGATGTGTCTATGGAGGATGACGTGAGCAAGAGTGGGTGAGCACCCCAGTCAGCACCCTCCCTGGGGAGAACACATAGAGGTTGCTCTGTCAGGACCCTGGTCCACCCACACTGGAGGACACACCCTGCCATTTTCCTCCAGTAAGGTTCAGTTCTGTTCACAGGGCAGAGGTGGAGCCATCGTGGCCACCTGGATCCAGGGGAGGAACACAAGATTGTTCATCTAGGAACAAAGTCTTGCCCTATTTAAGCCCAGGCAGACTGTGCCTTAGTTGGTACCCTGGTGTCGCTGCTCTCCTTCTCTGCAGTCCCACCACCAGCCCCAGCCATGCAGGGAACCTGGCTGCTGCTACTGCTGGGTCTCCAACTACAGCTGTCACTCAGTGTCATCCCAGGTAATGAGGCTTCTTCAGGTGCATGCTCTATCCACACACATGGGCCTTCAGTCTGACCCTTCCTCTGTATTCCCTTGGCCAGTGGAGGAGGAGAACCCAGCCTTCTGGAACCAAAAGGCAGCCGAGGCTCTCAATGTCGCCAAGAAGCTGCAGCCCATTCAGACATCAGCCAAGAACCTCATCATCTTCATGGGGGATGGTGAGTGTTCAAGGCCTGGTTACCCTGGGGCCCTTGCACTCCAAGGTACCACCCAAGGGCACTGGTGGGTCAGGCAGGCCTGGGGGTTCAGTCCTAACCAGGTTCTTCTCCTTCAGGTATGGGGGTGCCCACAATAACAGCAACTCGGATCCTAAAGGGCCAGTTGGAAGGTCATCTAGGACCTGAGACGCCCCTAGCCATGGACAGCTTCCCATACATGGCTCTGTCCAAGGTGAGTCCTGGGACACCTGGGATGGGGGGAAGAAGCTGACAAGAGGCTGAAAGGGTGACAGAGAGGACCCTGGAGATCGAGAGCCCAGTTAGGGGTCTGGCATGCAGGCTGAGGTGAAGAAATAAATTCTCCTTGAGCCCAGTTGAAGGTGTCTCTGTCCCTAGACATACAGTGTGGACAGACAGGTCCCAGACAGTGCAAGCACAGCCACAGCCTACCTGTGTGGGGTCAAGACCAACTACAAGACCATTGGTGTGAGCGCAGCTGCACGATTCAATCAGTGCAACACCACGTTTGGCAACGAGGTCATCTCAGTGATGTATCGTGCAAAGAAAGCAGGTGGGTTGCCAGGCTCAGGCATGGGGCAAACCTGGGGTGCCGACTGTCTCACCCTGACCTCTGCTGTCTTCAGGAAAATCTGTGGGAGTGGTGACCACCACCAGGGTGCAGCACGCCTCTCCGTCCGGCACGTATGTTCACACGGTGAACCGTGACTGGTATGGGGATGCTGATATGCCTGCCTCGGCAAGACAGGAAGGCTGCAAGGATATTGCTACACAACTCATCTCCAACATGGACATTAATGTGAGGAATAAAGGGCAGGGGGAAGAGGCTGGGAGAGGGGATGGTCCCAGACAACACGCAGACTGAGCTCCCTGGATCCTAGTGGGGAGCTGGGAACTGGTTGGAAAGGAGGCTTACGTCCTGAAGTCCCATCTTCTTTGATCCTCTCTGACTATAGGTAATCCTTGGTGGGGGCCGAAAATACATGTTTCCAGAAGGAACCCCAGACCCTGAGTATCCATATGATGTTAACCAGACTGGAACTAGGCTTGATGGCCGGAACCTGGTGCAGGAATGGCTGTCAAAGCACCAGGTGATAAGGGGCTCAATAATCATGGCACAGCAGAGACCAGGGGAGGGCTGTGGGCCCTAGCAAATGTTTGTGTCCCTCTAGGGATCCCAGTATGTTTGGAACCGTGAAGAACTCATCCAGAAGTCCCTGGATCCATCAGTGACATACCTCATGGGTAATGGCCCCACACTTCCGGTGCTGGTACCCCTCAGTTGGCAACCTTTGAACATGTGTGTATGTGTATGTACCATGACCCCACTACCAAGCCTGGTGGTCGCCTCTTTTGGTTTTGCCCTTAGGCCTCTTTGAGCCTGTAGACACAAAATTCGAGACGCAGCGAGACCCCTTGATGGATCCGTCTCTGAAGGACATGACAGAGGCAGCCCTGAGGGTACTCAGCAGGAACCCCAAAGGCTTTTACCTCTTTGTGGAGGGTGAGTGTCCAGGACCCCGTGAAAAGAGGGACAGTCGGCAGGGACAGGCTCAGGCTCAAGCTCCTTGGCTCCCTGCAGGGGGCCGGATCGACCGTGGTCACCATCTGGGCACAGCGTATCTGGCGCTGACTGAGGCCGTCATGTTCGACACAGCCATCGAGAAGGCCAGCCAGCTTACCAGCGAGAAGGACACACTGACCATTGTCACCGCTGACCACTCCCATGTTTTCTCCTTTGGTGGCTACACACTTCGGGGCACCTCCATCTTCGGTAGGCCGGGGGCACTGGCAGGTTGTTTTTGTTTGTTTGTTTGTTTGGGGGGGGTTGCATCAATCACATACAGAACTTTCTCTGAGCTTCACTTGCCTTGTGGGAATCTAGCAATGACTGAACTACTGGCCAGACAGAAGGTTGGGGAGCATCTAAGCCTCAGGCCTTGCGAGGACAAGGTGTCTCTCTTCCTTTATGCAGGGCTGGCCCCCCTCAAAGCTCTAGATGGCAAGTCCTACACCTCCATCCTGTATGGCAATGGCCCGGGCTATGTTGGTACAGGCGAAAGACCCAATGTCACCACTGCCGAAAGCCGTGAGTGTGATGGTGTGGCTTGCCTGCGGGTCGAGAGAGGATGGCTCCATCAGAAATCCTCTCGCTGAACCTCTTGTCCCTCCAGATGACTCCTCGTACCGGCAGCAGGCGGCTGTGCCTGTGAAGTCGGAGACTCACGGCGGGGAGGACGTGGCGATATTTGCGCGTGGCCCGCAGGCTCACCTGGTGCACGGAGTGCAGGAGCAGAACTACATCGCGCACGTCATGGCCTTTGCAGGCTGCCTGGAACCCTACACCGACTGCGGCCTGGCGCCCCCTGCGGACGACAGCAGTGCAACAGCCCCGAGCCAGACCTCCAGGACAACCAGACAGACCACCACCCCTGTCCAGGGCAGCGCTGGAAGCCTGGGCCCAGCCACCACCCCGCTAACCCTGACGCTGCTGGCAGGAACGCTTTTGCTGCTACTGGGGACTGCTGCAGAGTCCTAAACTCCAGCTCCTCCAGACGCCACCGGCCAGGTCCCAGGCCCTCACCTGGTGCTTCCTTACCCGGATCTCCCACTGATTTCTCATGGCCCCTCCCAAGACTGCAACCTTATCCAGTGCTCCCTGCATCCCGGCTGTGGGCCCTACCCTTGGACCCTCTCTGCTAGTGGCCTCAACCTCTATCCCGGTCTAGAGTGGCCGTTTCCTGGGCAACTGCCCAAGCATTCACAAGGGGACAGTCATCCCTGAACTAGCAGCCAGCCTCAGACCCCACACAGGCTGGGAGGCACCATGACAACGTGGCCCTGATCCTCCTGGGGCAGTCTGGGCTCTCATTTCTGACCTCAGCCACCAGCTGCTAGGAAAGGAGTGGACTCTTCCAACAATAATTTGTGGAGGACCAAACATGCGCCCACCCATCAGTGCTCCCACCAATCTTGGATCCCTACAGACTGAGGGACTAGGGCACAGGAGACCACAAGGAGAGGCATGGCTTCCCACCACTCCCTACACCACTCTGCTGGTGAGAAGGGATTCCCCAGCCTCCCTGGGCCAGCGCCACACTCAGAACCCTTCATGGGCCCATCCATCCCAATCCACAGAGAGAAGGTTCTGGAACCATTCAGCCCTCCCATGTCTATTATCCAGATAGGAAATTCAAGGAGCTGCACCCCAGCCACTCCTAGGTCATCTCAGGCTGACCCTAAATTGCTGAACTAAGGAAACCCCCTTACCTTCAAAAGTCTGTGTTCTCCTGGGAGAGGCAAATCAATAATAAAGTGTTATGCAATGCAATGTAGATAATAGGGTTTTTTCCCCCTTGACTCAAAAGCCTAGTGCCTGCTAGGAATGTGCCACTGAACAATATCCCCACCCTCTAGTAATATTTCCTCCTCCTGCTCCTCCTCCTGCTCTTCCTTCTGAGACTCTGTACCCCAAGCTGGCCTCAAGTGTATGGCAGTGCTTTTGCCGCAGGCTTCCAAATGCTGGGAGTTTAAGGACGCCCCTGGCATCCTAGTAGGTTCTTTGCAGAAGGAAAGCCTGGAGTGCCCGGAGCATAGGGTTCAGCTTGGGAGAGATGGGTGATGATGGAGATCCAGCCAGAGAAAGACAGCCAGTTGAACAAGAATCCTGAACAAAGTAAAGGCAGGAACATCACAGAACAGCAGTGCTTAGGGCCGGCGGCAGCAGTCATCGGGGAACTTTAGGACGGCAGGCTCCGAGGGAGTGGCTGGAGGAGGGTTGTCACACTAGGGCAGTGAAGAGATGTCAAGGAGCGGAAGACCTGTGAAACCAACGGTGCCGTGATCACAAGCCTTTACATAGGGTTTGGACCAGTCCCAACTCAGGGTGGGCTACTCTGGCTGTTTCTAGAAGCATGCGATCTTTTCTTCTCCCTTTCTTCCATGTCTATTTTTTCAGGTGTGTGTATGTGTGAGTGCGCATGCCCTCATGCTTAGACATGGGAGTTGGTCAGCTAGAGAGGAGATACAGACTCTGATCATCTCTGATTTCACACTGGGGACTTTGTGGACCACTACCCAGCATTGTCGCGCTTGGCACCTATCTAACCCACCCAGTGCAGACATTTGAAAGAATTACATAAAGATGGAATCAACTGTACCTCCCAGTAAATTTTGCAACATTACAAATTTATTTGTACATTTATGAAGGTATGAAAACACACTTTGCTCTCACTAGTAATTTTAGAAAGATTGAGTGTGTTTCCTTATTTGCTAAAATCTTGACTTAACACTGTGAAACATCAATTTGAAGTCCTGGCACTCAGAGTAGTTTATTTCAATTCCAGGTTTTAGTATCTGTCGTGAAAGTACGGAAGCTGCTGAATACAGGAAGGCGTTAGCACTAGAATCATCCTGGCTTTTAAATTCCATCCCCCAATTATACAAGGCTTTTGTCTGACTCCAGCTGATATATTTCTGTCTTCTTGAGTGTCAGTGAGTTGCTCTTTCAACACAGTGGAGTGACATTACACGTTTATGTTTTATAAATTTGTTCAAAGCCCAAGGACCTCTTCATTTTAAACCTTGCAGTTTTAAAAACAACTTACTCTGTAATTAGACACTGGTCAATAGATATCCAACTTCGTTAACATTCTGAAAACTGCTCAATGGTATGCTTTAGAGGGGCAAATTTTATGGTTATGTGTAGATTATACCTAAATTTTTAAAAGCAGATTAGATTAATTTCTACTTCCAAACTTCAAAGTGTATGTACAAAGGCTTTATCAGTCACACATGTTGCTGGGGGCCAGGAAGAAGGCTCAGCAGGTTAAGTTGCTGCTTATGGCTAGATGCCCAGCAATGCAAGACTGGTCTTCAGAATCCATGTAAAAGGAGAGATCCAGCTTTGAATGTTGTCTTCTGATTGCCACAAGAAACCCATGGCACGCATGGGTATGTACACACACACACACACACACACACACACACACACACAGAGTGAATAAATAATTGTATTTCTTTCTCTCTTTTTTATTTTTTTACTTTTTTTCTGAAACAGGATTTCTCTGTAGCTTTGGAGGCTATCCTAGAACATGCTCAGTAGACCAGGCTGGCCTGGAACTCACAGAGATCCACCTGCCTAAGCCTTTTCAGGAAGTGACCTAGTGCTAGAGGAAAGAGCACTTCCTGCTCAAACTTGAGGGGCCAGAGTTCACATCCCAGCACCCACAAAAAAGCCAGACATGGCTGAACACCTATAACACCAGCATCGAGGAGAACAACACCAGGGAGGTCTCCAGAGCTTGGCAGCTGTGAGTCCCAGATTCAGAACCAGATTGACTCAAAGGCAGAGAGTACTAGAGGAAGCCATGTGATACTATTCCTGCCTCTATGGATTCTCTCTCAGGTACCCATGCCCATGCAAAGAACGCCCTTTCCAAATCTGTCACAAAGTTCTCTTTGCCCACCACAAAACACCAAAGACTCAAAGGCAGTGCCTGCTGTAATTTAAGAAAAGCAACACCTGGGAGAAAGATCCCACGTGACAATGTTCAAGTAGGGTTTTTTTTTTTTTTTTTTAATTAGGGAAAGGGATCTTAAAAGGGGGAAAGGGGAAGCAGGAGACCAGCCTCCAGGGACAGGAGCAGCAGGAGAGGAAAGGGGGCAGAGAGGGGGTGAGGGAGAGGGAGAGAAAGAGAGAAAGAAGAGGGTGGGAGGGGGCAGGGCCCTTTTAAAGGGGAACACAGTGAATGTGCACAGGTGGTGCTCTTAGTGGCTGCAGCTGAGGGTGTATCCTGTCAGAACCCCAAGTCCCAGCACTCAGAAGGCAGAGGCAGGCAGATCTTTGTGAGTTTGAGACCAGCCTGGTCTACAGAGTGAGTTCCAGGACAGGCTCTAAAGCTACACAGAGAAACCCTGTCTCAATCCCTCCCACCCCCCCAAAAAGAACCTCAAGGACAGGCCAATATAGATACCTGAATACTAACAATGCCCCCTCTCACCTTTTTGTTAAAAGGACATCCTCACTAAGAGGGCATAAGTAGGGAGGGAAAGCACAATTTTTTAAAAAGCTTTTTACCAAGTGCCTAAACGGACAGCTCTCATTGCCTTAATAAGTGCCAGCACGGGGAACCTGCATAAGACCGAACAAGGCAGGCCCTCTGAACGTGGGTGTCAGTTCAGGGACTTGGGCAGTCTATGGGGCCACTGGCAATGGAACCAGGATTTATCCCTAGTGCACAAATGGACTTTGGGAGCCCATTCCCTATGCAGGGATACTCTGTCAGCCTAGATACATAGGAAGTGCATAGGCCCTGCCCCAAATGATATGACAGACCTTGATGATCCCCCATGGGAGGCCTCACCCTGTGTGAGGAGTGGATGGGGTGGAATGGGGAGATGGTGAGCGGAGTGGGAGGATGGGAGAGAGAGGGAATTGGGATTGGTTTGTATAATAAGATTTTTTTTTTACAGTGTGTATTGTTTTGTTTTTCGCTTTTTTGCTTTTTGGATTTTGATTTTTCACGACAGGGTTTCTCTGTGTTGTTTTGGAGCCTGTCCTGGAACTAGCTCTGTAGATCAGGCTGGCCTCAAACTCACAGAGATCTGCCTGCCTCTGCCTCCCGAGTGCTGGGATTAAAGGCGTGAGCCACCAACGCCTGGCTTAATAAGATTGTTTTTTAACTTAAATTAAAAAAAAAAATGTCAGCACACACATCTTGAAGAAGAGCCAGGCATGGTGCTATAGCCTTGCAATTTCTAGCACTTTGGAGGCTGAGGCAGGAGGATAGCCACAGATTCAAGACCAGCTTGGGCTACATAAGGCAGCCTGGACAATACAGCGAGACACTGCCTCAAAAAAAAAAAAAAAAAAAAAAAAGAGGAAAAGGAAAAAGAAGAGGAGGTGGATGAAGAGGAGAGGAAGGGAGAGAGAGAAGAGGGGGGAGAGGAGGAGCCAGATGGTTCCAGGTACTGGGGAGGCTGAGGCAGGAGGATTTCTTGAGCTCAGCAGTTGCAGATTAGCTGGGGCAGCATAGTGAGACTGTCAGCAGCAGTAGGGACAAGGCAGAGAATGACTGACAGGGTGGACTCGGGACACCTCCGTATAGGACTTTGCCACAATTATCCCAGACTCACTTTTTCTGGCCACACCGATCATTGTTACCGAGCATCACAGAGATTCTGCTCTAAGAGGACAATCTTGTTCTTGTAAGCCCACCCCACACCTCCCACAGCTGATGTGTGCCCAGGCTTCTGCTCATGGGGCTGGTTTGACCGTGAATGGAAGAATGGGTGGGTGAGTTGAAGGCACTGAGTCCTGACTGTTGCCCAGAATCCTTTTTAAACATCCTTTCCATCAGCGAAACTTCCACCATGCTCCCCATAGGCCGGTGCTTTTATTCAACAAAGCATTTGCTGTGGGCAGTATATCTCTTCTGCTGTGGCTTGCCTTTAGTGGCTCACACACCAAAAAAAAAAAAAAAAAAAAAAAAAAAGTAGTTTGTGTGTTTCATTATTGGAAGAGAATCCAGAAGATAC